TTTATTAGTAGTTCAAATTTATGTTGATGATATAATATTTGGTTCCACTAATGATGTTCTTTACCAAGAATTTTCTAAGCTAATGCAAAGTGAGTTCGAGATGAGCATGATGGGGGAGCTCTCATATTTCTTGGGACTCCAAATCAAGCAAAGGAAAGATGGCATCTTCATTAATCAAGCTAAGTATGTCAAAGATATGCTCAAGAAATTTGGATTGGAAAATGGGAAGCCTTATGCCACTCCAATGAGCTCTTCTACAAAGCTTGACTTAGATGAAGGAGGTAAATGTGTGGATGTTAAATTATATAGATCCATGATTGGCTCATTGCTTTATCTAACCGCAAGTAGACCGGATATTATGTTTAGTGTTTGCTTGTGTGCTAGGTTTCAATCATGTCCTAAAGAATCACATTTACTAGCCGTTAAGAGGATCTTTAGATACCTTAAGGACTCTCCTAGTATAGGTCTTTGGTATCCTAGAGACTCTAGTTTTAGCTTGCATGCCTTCTCTGATGCGGATTATGGAGGATGCAAATTAGATAGGAAAAGCACCTCCGGTACTTGCCAATTCCTTGGAAATATGCTGATTTCTTGGTTTTCAAAGAAACAAAATTGTGTTGCATTATCTACCACTAAAGCGGAATACATTTCAGCCGGTAGTTGTTGTGCACAAGTTTTATGGATGAAACAACAACTTTTTGATTATGGAATTGAAGTAGGTACCATTCCTATCAAGTGTGACAATACTAGTGCTATTTGTCTCACTAAAAATCTCATCCAACACTCTAGAACTAAGCATATTGAAATAAGACATCACTTCATTACGGACCATGTCACTAAGGAAGATGTAGTTCTAGAATTTGTTGATACTTTACACCAATTAGCGGATATTTTTACAAAACCCTTAGATAAAGAAAGATTTTGGACACTTAGGAGAGAATTAGGTTTAACTGACCTATCTTCACTTAGTGTTTAAAATATTTTAGCACTTTTAAATAATATTGAAAAATGCTTATAATAATAATTTTTGATTGCATTCTTGCTATTAGTTAGGGGGAGTTAGTGATTCTCTATTAAAATTAATTTTATGTTCAAATAAAGTTTGAAGATTAATTTGATTGATTGAACATAATTAATTTGTGATATATGAGTTGCCAATACCATTAGAGCCAAATTATTTAGCATTTTAAGTGTTTAAAACGGATTTTTGACATTTTTGTGCTTTATGCACCGATGCATTTAACAATGCATCGATGCATCCCTTTGAATGTGTATCGTTGCATCACCATGATGCACCGATGCATCCGTCGGGTTTTAAGTCAAAAACCCTGGTTCTTCTTCATTTTCTCAACTCCCTTCAAAAACTCAAAACCGACCGTTCGTCACCCTCTCATCCTAAATCTCCATTTTGCTCAAAATCTTCGGGAAAACATCGGATTCTTCAAGTTTTATATCCTACAAACCTGCTACAATCATTAAATCGTACAAAACATCTCCACATTCTCCTCAATCCAAATTTTTCAAGGTATTTTTTACAAAAACTCTATTTTATTAATTTTTGAACTTAGGACTAGTTTAGATTAGTTCTAGTTTAAAATAATTATCGGGGATTGGTTATATGATGATTCTAAACTAGTTTCTACAACGAATTTTATCAAAAACACATAATTTTTCAAAATTAAAATTTCGAATTTAAAAAAAATTAAAATTAAGTGATAGTTTTCATTTAATTGTGTTGTTTTCATGAAAACTATACATATTATGATATTATTTTAAAATAGTTTTCAAAACTTTGCCCATTAGGACTTTGTTAGAGAACCTTGAATTATTGAGGACTCATTTGAGTTTTGAGATTAATTGTTGTGCATACATGTGTTTTAAAATTGCAGGTGATATTCCTTTTCCGATTTTCCTTACCATGACTAATCCTAAACGCCCTAGGACATCCTTTAGTCGGTCTCACCAAAACCGTCCTCCCGTTCCTCAACATCCTCCTCCCGATCCTCCGATGGAGTAGACTTACTTGCCATGCTTTCTTGTTCTTCAAACTTGGATTTGATTTTTGTGGTTTGATTGATACTTTGAACTTGATTAGTTGTTGGATGTTTATGTTTGTTTGGATATTTGGATGTTTGAATGATTGAACTTATATATATATATATATTTGGTTTGACTTTTCTGTTTATTAATTTTTGCATCATTAGAAATTTATGACCAATTATGCCATTTCACTTTTTATTATGAATATTGTTTATGAAAACTAATGGCTAATCTCTCTTTTGATTGTGATCTTAGCAGCCTATTATTAATAAATCAATTGGCTAATGTTTTTCAAAATTCTTGTTTAAAACGTTTTTATAAAGTCTTTTTGATTTAACAAAAAGGGGGAGAAAATTTAAGATGTGTTATAGTAAGGGGGAGTAAGTTTTTCAAAATCGATTTCAAAAATAATTTCTTAAACAAATCTTAAAATTACTCAAATGTTTTGTTATATCAAAAATGGGGAGATTGTTGAAAACATTTTTTATATTTCGATATAACAAATTAAGTTAAATGAATTTTAAGATTTTACAAATGATTTTACAATTTTAGATTCGATTCAATTAACCGAATATCAAATTATTACTCCAAGTTTTTCAAGATCAATTTGAAACCTTACTAAATGTGTAAAATTGTGATTTGTACTTAAACTATTTTTAAAACAATTTTCACAAAGTATTTTGAACCAAAATCAAAGCCTAAATTTAATTATTTGATGTGATGCACCGATGCATCAACCATGCATCGATGCATTAGTGAATTAATTGAAACATCGAATGCATTCCATGCACCGATGCATTCTCCATGCATCGATGCACTCTGAATATTTTCAAAACATCGAATGCATTTGATGCATCGATGCACAAGCCATGCATCGATGCACTCATGCTATTTTCAAACATCGAATGCATTGCATGCATCGATGCACACTTGGTGCACCGATGCATCAAGTGTTCCAACAGTCAAAATATTTAAATTTTACACTGATGCACCGATGCATCCTTCATCATGCATCGATGCATGAGACGCTTCACCCAGAAAAATTAATTGTTTTCACACTTAAACGGCTCTATTGACTCCACTAATTATCACCAACGTTCAGAATTGATTCAAGGAGTATTTAAACAAGTTCTGAAGCCATTGATCAACAAGAAGAAACAATAAGAAACATCAAGCAACTAGAATCAAGAGAGAATCAAAGAGAAAGCATCAAACCTCAAGTTTGAGCATTTCAAGCCTATTTTTCATCCAATATTCATTTGCTTTCAAGAACACTTTTGTAATCAATTGTATTTATCTTTGAGTGTTCTTTTCTTTGTTCTAGAATTGTGCAAACATCTTACCTTGTGAGGTTTTCTTGTAAGTTTGCAAATTTGTAATCTTCTCTTTGGGAAAAAGAGTGTTCTCAAGAGTTGGGGTATACTATTGAGGGATTTTGTAAGGTTATCTCTTTGGCCTCAAAAGAAAGAACAAATTAGTGAATTTGTTGGAAAATCCTTAGTGTGGATAGCTAAGGTAGTGGACGTAGACTTTGTTTGAGAAAGTCGAACCACTGTAAATCGTTGTGCAATTACTTTCAATTTTATACAAAAGCTTCCACGAAATTTTTAATTGCCAATTCACCCCCCTCTTGGCCGATTCCGTCGATCGATTAACTCAACAGTATCATATCAGAAATCAAGGAATTGGTCAAGAGGAATATCATAATGTCGAGGCAATTCCGAATGCTGGGAATGCATCTAGGCCTTGTAGTATTCGAGATCATTTAAACCCTATCATGGACGACCTAAATCCTGGAATTATGGCACCCATGATTCAGGCAGCCCACTTTGAGCTCAAACCAGTTATGTTCAACATGTTGGACTTTATTTGACAGTTTGGTGGTACTCCTCAGGAGGATGCAAGGCAACATGTTCGGGCATTTTTGGAGGTCTGTGACTCCTTTCGACAACAAGGTGTGCATGAAGATGTGTTGAAATTGAAGTTATTTCCATATTCTTTGAAAGATCACGTCAGTGCATGGCTCAATGGATTACCTTTCGGCTCGATAAGGTCTTGGGTTGACTTGTGCAAAAAAAATTTGCTACGGCATAATCAACGCAATATGAACAACCATCTTAGAAATGCCATAGCATCTTTTCACCAAGGCGATGAAGAGTCTATGTATGAGTGCTGGGATCGATACAAAAGTTTGCTTCGCAAGTGTCCCAATCATGGATTCCACGACTGGACTCAAGTTGTGATATTCTACAATGGAGTCAATGCACCCACGAGGATGATGCTAGATGCCTCGAAAAATGGGACATTACTTGACAAACACATAACTACCCAAAAAATTGTAAGAAAGGAAATTATTACAAATTGTATAACTTTTTCTATTGTAAACCCTAAAACAACTGTAATATAACATTTTCGTTTATGATAAAAAATATTATAAATTCATATAACATTTTAAGCTAAACATAATAACATTTTAGATTAAAAATCATCTTAAATTAACCATAAACTAATTGTCGAACACAGAACTACCCAAAAAAATTGTAAGAAAGAAAATTAGCGATTTCATTTTTCTATTTGGTAAAACTGTTGTCCACGTCATCTTCGTGACGGAAAATGAATTCCACGTCAACAAATTGTTTATCGCTTAACAATTTAATGGTAGAATTGCATTTAAAATTAAAATTTAGTTTTATAATGGTATCAACATAAAGCTAATGATAAATTCAATATAAAAACTAAAAGTAAGTAACCTCTATAGTTGATTACCCAAATAAACAATAGAAAACAGAAAACACATGTTTGGATCCAAAAACTAACATTAATCGCATTTAGAAACATTGATACCATAATAAATAGCAAAACATAGGTTGTTTAGAAACATCTCAAATCCATAATCCAGTTGTAGCACGAAACATTTTCGGATTTCGGATTACACACAATGTAAACCAATAAATAGCAGTTTATGCAGTAGTGTCAGTCGGAGGTGCTTCACCTTCAGCAGCGTCTGGGCCAGGAGCAGGTGCATCACCACCACCATAGTCAGCGGTTACTTCAGCGGAGGGTCCTTCGGTCGACGGTTCCTCCGTAGGGTCATCATTTGGGACCTCGATACCAATGGAAGAATCGGGGGCATCGGAAGGGCTGCCGGTAGGGGACGAAGATGGGGAAGTGGAAAGTGAGGAAGCTGGGGCTTTTGTATCGACGGCGTATGCCCCAACAACAGACATTATAATAAGGGCAACTGCAATAACTTGGCGAGACATTTTGATGGTGTTTTGTGTGATTTTGCTTTATTTGATTTAGATTCAAGAGAAACATTCTCTAAGATATAATAGAGAAAAGGACTGTAATGCTCAGGCCCGGTCCTGACATCTTAAGGGCCTTAGGTCAGGAGTTAATGACAAGAAGATAAGTGGGGCTCACACTTAGTTTCCCTTCCAATCATTAAAATGGACCTATTGGATTACCATGTTTTTGAGTTTTTTAATAAAAAAAGATGTTTAAAAATATTTTTAAATTATTAGAGCCCACTGAATTACCATATTTTTGAGTATTTGAAATAAAAATATATATTTAAAAATATTTTTTAATTATTAAATTTAAAAATATTTTTAAAAATGAGTTCCTCCAAACATGGGGTCCTCGGCGGTAGCCCCCTGGCCTATGCTCAGGGCCGGCCCTGGCAATGCTGATTAATGAATTGAGAGAAGCATCAAGCATTGGGTTATATAGATAGGTGAACATGAGAAATTTATGGGAACTCAACCATTTGATTGACCGATTTTCCAGTTTTATTTGTGGAACGAATTGAACATTTAACACCTCACAGTTTCAAGAAATCATTTTTCGCTGTGTTGGTTACAATTTAAAAATGATTAAATTTTTTGAAGGGTAAACCTAGTAGTACATTTGTTTTTTATCTGACTGATTTTGGTCACTGATTTTTTAATTAAGTACACTTGATTCCTTACGTTATCGGTTCATCTAGTTTAGGCCTCTCCGTCGTTAACTTCCTTTAACCCATTAACGGAAGTCTAAGTTGACAATTAAAAAATAATAAGATAGTTAAAAAAAACCACCATGTAGGTGAGTTGGCATTTGGGTCTTCTTCTTCTTCCTTCTTATTCTTCAAAAATTACCATATTGAAAGCTACAATAATCTCTATTTTATTTTGTTAAATTTATTTTCAGATATTTGTACTAACATCATTTAATCCCTAAACACCAAAGTCCAACCATTAAAACAGGAAGCACAAACACTTAATATCAACATTCCATTCCTCACCATACAAATAAATATTCCTCCCCCAGCTACCATATATTTTTCCTGTATTATGCATCCACGCAAAGAAATGGCCGAGACTGAATTTCATGAACCAAATTATCAACCATTTCCTCCATATGAACATAAACGGCACTCTGCTTCAAAGAACAAGATTCTTGATACAAATATAAAAATCAACACACACCATATGTATGTTTTTAAAACAAGAAGGCTTTGTATGCGTAAAAGAGTTCTCGATGGAAGAACTATCAGCAAAGCCTCAGACAGATTTCAACACAAAAAGTTGTCTTTTTCTCTGTAATTTTTCCTTGACAAGGAAAAAAACTACATATACGTAAATAAAAAGTATATTTTGCATCATGGCTCCAGCTTCAAGGAAACGACGCACGACTGTCTGTTGCGCTTCCCCACCTTAACAAAGAATACCGGTGGCTTACACGTGAAAGGGTTTAAGTGTGGTTTAATATGAAGAAGAAGAGACACGTGGAGGGTGGTGGCGGATGGCTGTCGGCGATGCCTAACGCCGACGGCGAGAGGCGGATGACCATCGGGATTTAAGAGCTTCTCTTGAAATAAATGGAGCAAGATTTATTTGAGAGAGAATGAAAGAAGAAAAAGATGAAGAAGAAATTAGAGAAAGAAAAAGAAGAAGAGTTGACGTGAGACGTGGATTTTAAAAAAAAATTACTTGCCACGTAATACTTTTGTTAAGGGTTGACGTGAATTAACGACGGAAGGACTTAAATCAAATGAATTCATAACGTGAGAGACCAAGAGTATTTAATTAAAAAATCGGTGACCAAAATTGGTCAGACCAAAAACAAATGGGACTACTGACATAGTTTACCCATTTTTAAATCAACCATTTTGAGTCATTTTATTGAAATCTTAACATAAAATTTTTTTAATCCCAAAATTTTTTTCCTAACCCAGCTCTAATAAAAAATAGAAAAATGCAATGTCATTCAAAAAAAAATTAATGTGGCCCTCGTATTATTTTTCTCTTATTCTGGCCCTGCAGCTCAGAAAATAAACCCAATGACCTTTCGACCAACTTTTTCGTCGTTGACCATTTTTGCACTGACGTGGCAGTTCATGGTGTTGACATGAAGGTGCACGGTACTAACATGATAGTCTACAATGGTTGAGGACTTGACAGATGGGCTATATTAACAACTCAAACTCAGCATCATGGATCACCACGTTAGCACCGTAACGGTCAACGACGAAAAATGTTAGTCAAATGGTCACATTGGGCTTGTTTTCTGAGTTAGATGGCCACATTGGTTTTTCTTCAAAATTATAGGGACCTCTGATGCCTTTTTCCATTAAAATTTGGACAAACTACACGTTAGTACCTAAATTATTACTTTTGTTTTGTTTTGGTACTGAAACTTTTTTCTCTCCAAATTATACCTAATGTTTAGTTTAGGTTTTATTTTGGTACCCATCATTAAAAACTTAATGGTGATGGTGATGTGTCACCATAAGATAATGTTTTGTCATAATTGAAAAATAAATGATAAAATGCAAAATAAGAAATTTTTTATTTTTTAACGGTAAAATACCAAATTAAAACCTAAATAAAATGATTGATATGATTTTGAAAAGAAAATAAAGTTTAAGTATCAAATGGAGCAAAAGTAATAATTTAAATATTAAATGTGTAGTTTACCAAAAAAAATATTCAATCACTGCTTACTCAATTTAGCTTTAAGTTTTCAGCCAAAATGTTAGTGACCTACGTTACTCCTAGGGTTTCTTATTGAGAGAGTTGATCGTGAGTTGGGCAGTGCTCGTTAAAAAAATTTGTTGCTCGACTCAACTTATTGCTTGTTAAGCTCATTAAAATTTTGCTCGACATGTGCTCTTTAAAAACTTGTTGCTCGACTCTTGTTTGTTAAGCCCGTTTCTCGTTAAGCTCGTTGCTCAACTCGTTGCTCGTTAAGCTCATTGAAATTTTTATCCTATTTTATTAACTATAGGTAATATCTACTAATACTATAAATTAATAGATTAGTCATTTATCATATTTTTATTATACAATAGTAAATTATTAATTTTTGAATGAAATAATTTTTAAAAATAACTAATAAAAAATTATAATAATAATTAATGAGCTGCTCACGAACTTATCGAGTCGAGTTGAACTTTGTTCGACTCATCTCGTTAAGGTCTCAAGTTGAATTCGAGTCGAGTCAACCCGAATCAAGCTTTTACCGAGTTTTGACTGAGTCGAGTTCGAGCTACTGACGAGCTGCTCAACTCATTAAGCAACCCTAGTTACTCCTATTGCTTTTAGAGGCAAGTTTTAATTTTTACAATTTTAACTTGTTGCTAAATTGGTTTTTTTACTGGAATGAGAAAAACAATAAAACTAATATAAAATAGTATAGGGCTAGAGGCTGGGCGATTTTCATGCATCAACGCTTCAACTTCAGCTAGAGCAGACAGGAAAATGTGTACGTCAGTCAGGCTATTCCAAGCTAGCCTCGCCAGGCCATTGGTGACTCGATTCGCTTCACGGATAATATGTTAGAATTGCAGTCTCTAATCTCTCTAAATTAACTCTATCAAGGATGCAAGAGGAGAGATGATATATATATATATATATATATATATATATATATATATATATATATATATATTTCTTGTAATAACAGGTTCCAAACCTCTTTATTATCAACTTCAACTATCACCATTCTGAAGTTCATGCTTCAAGCTAGTTTTAAACCTTCAAGGACCCCAAAGTTCAGCGTCAAGTGTTGAGAAGATACTTATAAATTTCGAGAATCCCCTTATCCAATCACCATTTTGTAGAGATTAGAAACTAACTGCTGTAAACGGGTTCAGGGTAGTTAGACTTTTCTGTTAGGACAGTCAGACAAGTTGAAAATACATGTACTTTGTATACATTTGTTATTGATGAATATACAGTAATTATTCTAGATCTTTCACTTCTTTTATTTGACAAGGTATCAGGCTAGAATTCGATCCACTTTCCAAGCCCATATCATTTTGGTTTTTGGGCCGCTCGATTTTTCCCTTTGTTTTTTCCATCTGTGTTTCTGTTTGGTTAGTCTCTCTTCATCGTATTTTTCCCTTTTTCGACGATTATGCCTCCGACCGTTAAGCCCTTTCTGCTCGATAGAAATCATGTGCTCTTTCTTCATTCCTTGTATACGCCAGGGACTTTAATGAGAATCACAATATTTGGCGTCGATCGATGGAGATTGTTCTTTAGGCAAAAAATAAATTAGATTTTGTTGAGGGTTCTTACCGTCGGGAGGATTTTGATGGTCATGTCCGATATCAATGGGATCGTTGCAATGCTTTGGTTTTGTCTTGGATCTTGAATATGGTTAGTAAGGATTTATCCACTGGGATTATCTTTGCTATTAGTGCGTTGCTTGTTTGGGAGTATCTCAAGGAGCGTTTTCAGAAGATTGATGGTGCTTGGATTTACTTTTTACATCAAGAAAATGCCACGACCGTTCAGTGTGAATCTTCTATTTCAAGTTATTTCACCAAATTAAAATTGCTTTGGGAAGAATTTGGTGCTCTTGTTCCTTTTACGCCGTGTGAATGTGACCATACTCAAGCAACTCTGAGGCATCTATCTCAGCAGAAACTCTTTCAATTCCTTATTGGATTGAACGATTTTTACACTGTAATTCAAAGCCAAATTCTTGTGCAGCCGTTGCCTTCTGTGAATCAAGCATATTCAATGCTGATTCAAGAAGAGTCTCAATGAATTTATCTAGATGAGGTTAATTTGATTGCGAAAATGGCTGTAATGTTTTCCAACTCTGGCCCTAAACGTCGTTTTTCTGGGACTTGTGACTATTGCAAGGTCATGGGCATAAGAAGGAAAATAGCTATCGCCTTATTGGTTTTCCTTCGGATTTTTTGTTTAATAGAAAGAAGAAAGGTCAAGTAGCTATGGTGGCTGGTCAGACTTCAATAATCAAAGCCTCT